CACAGACATCATTCAAACAGCACACTAGGAACTAGAAGAAAACATTTTGAGAGGAGGGGTACTGTAAATTATGACATTATGAGATTTAAATGCCATATTTTTCAGCAAATTTTGTGAGCATGTTGGTGTTCAGATGAGAAGTCCAGTCACACACATCTACAACACACTGTCTTCTTTCAACGTTCATTAAGACCAAGAATAGGAATGAGCCTTTGAGTCACTAGATGGCAGTCTTGTCTTTTCTTAAACTGGTTCCAGATTGTCCCCTTTGGTATCTGGGCTCATATCCTGCTCCATGTTTGGAGCATGCACGCCACCTGCTGCAGCGTTTAGACCATAATGGTAGAGAGTCAGACAGAGTCCAGCGCTGGCTGCAGACTACAAATCAGAGATACTTAGGACAGGGTGGTCATCTGTGCACTGATACCCACACATGGCATTACAGGCACTTCTAGTGCTGACCTGCTTTGGGCCTACAGCCGCCATTGGTGTTCAAAGGAGCACTCCTACAAGACAATCTGTCTTTTCCTTGGACTTGTTTGTAGGTTGTGCTCTCTACTTCATCCACGGCAGCTATTACTGCTCATGATAATCTAGTCTAATCTAGTTCTTAAACTGCTTATTCCAAACAAATGGGAAGGCGCTACCAGGCCTTGAATGCGCAGTGCCTCCACCGTACAGTATAATGTGTTATTTCACAGCCGGTATTTACATTACATTTTGATGGGCAGGAGATAGTGTTACTTTATGTGGTCTACGCTGCTATAGTCTGTCATCATACGGTCTGCATGACATTATATACGATCAGCTCATAGCTGCTGACTTGATTTGGTGGTGTCTATAGCCGGTGAATGTGATATGAGCTATAAACGTGTATGACCCATACTTGAGATAGATGTTGATGGCAGCGACAGGCCTCCTGTTACAGCAGCACTCTGCACAGCAACTCTAAGTGGACTGATACACCAACCCATTCTGTATTAATGAATGTCATTTTATTTAGATTTTTTTACAATTAATTTGGAACATATTTTTTTAAATAGACATCTCATTTTGTTTTTAAAATATAACTGCACTTGGTATTCCATGTTGGAATAAATAAATGTAAAAATTAAATGAAAATATATTGCAGCACAACAGGAAATGTTGGTTGTTTACTGTTAAAAAAAGTGTACTGTAGCCTACCGTATTTGTGATCTATTTTTAAGGATTTCGATCTTTGGAAGAAATGAGAGCCACAGAAAGAGCTCCTTTCTTGGTATTTGTTTGTTTGAATTATCCTTTAGATGTTAAAACTTAAACTAATCACCCAATTAATGTAATTCTGGACAAAAGTAGTCATTACAAATTCTTCCAAAAAGGTCAAAGGTTTTTGTATCTGAGCAGTGGGCAGTCAGTTGTAACATAAAGTAAATATTTGACCTTCCTTGGTCAGTTAAGATAACTGTGACTTCTGACCTCCTGAACCTATGAAACCCTGTCAAAGCCTAAAGCTGCAGTAACACTAGTTATAAATACTACTTTTATATTTCCAGGAATTATTTTCTCTCTCACACTTATGTAAATTACATTTCCAGCTCTGCCTCGAAACCAGTTGGCATTATGCTGTAGCATGTGTGAAAACCTTGTAACGTGATGTGATTTAATCTTTATATTTTCACTTCTTCTCAAGTGATACATCTTCCTATGTGGCAACAACAATACACTTCTTCCAACCCTTAAAATACATTTGATCAAACCAGCCAACTAGCTCATCAAAATAGCTTCTAATGTCCAGGAATATTTCCCAGCAGCACATTCTGTCTGCTATGACCTCAGCTCCATCAAAACAGCGTCCAGTCAGACGGCAGAACAGCCTCAACCAACACGCAGGCCGTCCATCAACCTGCCAGGCCACCAGTCATGACACCGGCGACGGGCCTCGTGTTAAATCTGTGTCCAGCACTCATGAATGAGCCCATACCTGCGCTGAGATATGAGGTGGTGGGTCATTCTGGTGAGACACAGTCGTAATGCAGCAGCAGCAGCAGGGCGGGAGGGGTGGGCGGTGGCTGCCGGGCGTCCAGGCAGGCCGGTGAGTGATGAGGTGATGGTGCATGCAGAGGAGGCCAACAGAACTGACTGGCCACTGACTGAACTGCATAGCTGCACACATAACGGCCATGAATGTTTCCTTTCTCTGCCTCCTCTCTGCTTTTTTCCACCCCTCAGCTGTCCTCAGACTTTTCACACTTCATTCCTGGATGGCTGTTTGTGCGATGGCTCTCGTCCTGCAGCTGATACTCATACACAGGTAAGGATGAATGCAGATGCAGGAGATTTGTGCTAAAATTGCCAACATCCAAAGAAACCTCGAAACTTGAGGGCTTGAAGTTGGTTAAATTACTAATTTTGCTGGGCTAAAAAACAACAACAAAATCTTTAATCTGTTTTGTTAATTTCAGATTTGGTAAGACGATCAAAAGTATTTTCAAAAATGAAGTCTGACACAAATCCATGTTTTTCTGAGTTTTATGACCTCAAAGTCTCAGTTCCTTAAGTGAAAAATTCCCTTCAATCAAATCCCAGAAGTGGCATCAATCCAACACTAAACCTATCAAGTTAATCAATAAAAATAATTCCTGTATAACTGTTCCTTTCCATGTCAAGGTTTTAATGCCGCCGTTGGCTGAAAAAAGTCGCCACTGCACGTGTTGAGGGGGTCGGCAGCTCACCTCCTCTCATCTCAGCGGAAGAGGGAAACATGTTTTAATAACCAGAGTCTGCAGAGATCAGGGGAGAGGAAACCATTTTTTTTCTCCAGCGCTGCACCGAGGTCACCCCTCTGTGGGCTGTTATAAAGCCACACACACATACGTTTGCACATATGCACAACACACATAGCCTTGTAATAATGCAGCACACACACAGGCATGCACCCAGAAAATGGACCTACATTTTTGGAAAAGCATAAAAGCGTAAAATAGACCAAAATATTCGCTTAGGCACGAGAGAGCCAAAAGCACAAACACATTAGACATATTAGCCTACACACACACACACACACACACACACAGATATACACACACTTACAGTCACCAATACCCCTTTTAAGAGCTCTCCCCAGAAATCCACATAGCTGATGTAATTAGTGATTTTAGAGCTCTGCACTTCATATTACAAGTCATAAACAGACATTCAATACTGGGCTTTGAGAGAGCTGTTTATTCTGGAGTTTTATAGTCCACGCAGGACCCTTCTGTGTTTATTCTCTGAGAACAATAATGCCACTATGCTCCCGGGCTGGAATGCTATTCAT